CCAATGTCATAAAACAACATGTGTACTACTGTTTCATGAGAAACTATTTGTTCTGTAAGCCTTCACCTGAAGTACAATAAAAATTAAAAAAAAAAGTTACTATCTTTTGACCAATTAAATCCGTATCTTGTAATTTTAATCTAAGATGCAAAGATTTACATACAACGAAGTTCAGAGGCCCACAATTTAGGAAAACAAAAACTGGAAAACTAAATATTGAGCCAGAAAAACAGTTAAATAAACTATATTGCAACCTCATAAAAAAAAAGTAAATGTAAAGACTTGCTTACTGGCATTGAGCTACCCTCTCGCTCCATGTCTAATCCCTCTATCCCCTTCTACCCCAAAATAAACTGCTTCAAAGAGGATGATGATTAGGGGTGGGACAGAATCTCCCTGTTCCCAAGAGGGACCAAAGGCCATACACATCTAAGTGCGCTGGAAAACTACAGGGACAGTAGGGACTCAGGCTTTTATGGCTCTGCTGGATACAGGAGTTCAAATCGTCATCCTATCTGATCTTGAGGTGGGATGATAAGAGGAAACAAATTCCACTGATAGGGTTTAGGCAGGCATTAGTGAGGAAAGGAAGCTTAAGTAACCTTGTGGGTGGGGCCCTTTGGGCCAACTCAATGTACTGTTATTAATGTTTCCACAGCTGAATGTATAATTGGTATTGCTGTTTTACATAGTTGTTCTGTGAATGCTCATAAAGTCCAAAGGGCATTCTCCTGCTCAGGGACTGCCATACGTAGAGACAATAGTGTGGCATGCAAATCACTCCCCAGTCCATCTCCCTATCCTCTCCCAGGTGGTCTAACAGAAACAATATAGAATTCCAAGAGGACAAAGAGAAATCACAGCCTTGATTAAGGACTAAAAGACAGCATATACAGTAAGAAATGTAGTATCTCAATATCACAACCCTGTATGGCCAGTGAAAAAGACTAACAGAAGCTAGAGGCTTACAGTGGATTACTACCAACTGAATTCCGTTGTTGCTTCGATAGCCCTGGCTGTGTCAGACATTTTGACTATAACTGAATCCACTGCATAAACAAATGGCACTTGAGATGCTGTGTTAGACATTACCTATGCTTTCTTTTTATTCTACTGGCACCCAAGTGTTGGAAGACACTCTTCCATGGGTCTCTTGTGCTCCTACACATCTTGCTGGGTACGACAAGCAAACAAGCCCTGATTGCTCTTTACCAGGGCATTTCTTAGGTTTATGTTTGCAACAACTTTGAGGCTTGCTTACAGGCTCCTCGTAAGCAGCAAGCTCCCAGGCTCAGTGCTCATTTCCTGTAACACAACTCACTGCATGTGAACACATCCATCTCGGTGGGCGACCTGAGTATCCCCTGAGGGAACTGGGGCTTAGGGTACCTACATTGTTTATGGGAGAAGAAGAGGGGAGGGGAGGGGAGGAGAGCAAGAAAAATAAATTTTTTTCCTATTGCTGAAAGAGAAAGAGACCTATTTCCCCCTTCCCTTTTCTTAGATTGAAGCCCTGGTGGCACAGTGGTTAAGAGCTCGGCTGCTAACCAAAAGGTCAGTAGTTTGAATCCACCAGCCACTCCTTGGAAACACTATAGGGCAGTTCTACTCTGTCCTATAGGGTCACTATGAGTAGGAATTGACTTGATGGCAACTGAGTTTTGATTTCTTAGATCAGTTCCTTGAGAAAACTTGTATTTGTGAAACCTTCTTCTGTCCCTTTGATATGTATGCAAATATTTTTAAAAGCTAAATAAGCCTTTTGCCAGCTTACAACCCAGGAGTGTTTTTCTTAAGGGTCTAGGAGCCATCTCTTTGAAATGTAAACATTAAGGAAGATAGCACTCCTCTCTCCCTGTCACCCTGGGAGCTAAGCCTAGGTACCCTGCTGTAACTACCTGCTTGTCACAGATATGTGAGAAGTTTTACTTAGCCTTTGGATAAAGGTTATTAACTAGCACAGATGGCCACCCTAATTACCAGGTGAACTTAAGATGAATGATGAAAGACTGTAAAATAAACACTGCTGTCAAGTCCTCTTACATGAGGGCAAGTTATCGTTTATCTTGAGAACAGGTACGCAATGGATTGTACCTGCTGGTTACATTAAAAGGATGAGATTTCTTCCTCTCTCTGCAATCTCAGCAGCACATTGCCCATGTCTAGTTTAATGCTTATTCAATAGTAAACTGTTCTTTCTTTTCTACATCTGTATAGAGGATTTCCTGGTTTGCCAAGGTTTTATTTTTAATTTCCCCCCAACAATCTGGTGATGAGGATGGGATAGACTGGAAGTTTCTGAATTGAAAGGAACAGCTCAAGGCTTTGTGGCCACACAATAGTCCCGTAAGAGTCCTGAATTATAAAATGTCTCCCCTCTAGCCCTCTGCTCTTTCCAAATACTCACCAGACAAGTCATCCTCTTCAAATTCCAGATTTTATTATTGAGTCAGCATTGTAATATAGGCTCTAAAATTTTATCAGGATCACCATTAGCTTTGACAGTGGAAAAATATGCAAAGCCAGGAGTGTTCCCTGCACATCTTTATCTTAAACGACTAATCTATCTCTGTCAATTTGGAATGAAATCCATTTGGAAAGAGAATTCAGTTTTACAATGACCTGAGGATGATTCTTTTGATTTGGATAAATTAACTTATTTGTGTTGACTCATAGAACAACCTCATCCCAAGCAAATTAATTACTCATGTTTATTGGATGAGTATGATTCTAGGAAGAAAGTCAGAAATTATTTGGATAGCCAGAGGAAAGACTGAGGAAAATGGAAGAGGAAATAGGAGAATTAAAGGCGCTCTTTGACCAAAGCCTCCTCCTTTTTTCTGCCGTCCCCACCCCCTTTGCTCCCCCTCCACTCCCCCCGCCCCCACCCCTACTCCCATATCTCTTTAATCCCCAGCCTCAAACTGACTCCTTGTAAGAGGGAAGCGATAACCTTTGAGATGGGTGGTCCCCTTCATTAGTGGATTTCCTTGTAAAGAGGACAAGAGTACAAACTTCTTTAGCTAGTAATGAATTATCTGCCCTGTTTGAGGTTTCTATGGCTCATGCC